TTAGTTATCCCTGAGGTGAAAGGTGTTACATTCAGGTGTGAGACACATCCCTTCAACTTATTGGTTACGTCGTCAGTCCCAGCGACTCCCCAAACAATGCAAGCTATTGGCATTGCCCTCCCTATCCATTAGAACTTGATAGTAAGACAACTGTTGGTGGGGAGACACCACACTTTACTCACAGGACTTAGAGAAACCAAGCGAGTACTGATTGGAAGATTCCCCATTTGTTAGCTGTCATTATACTGGAAGATGCTCTTCAGGCCACTGGAGAAGAGAGGTTATCAATCTCATAAATTCGTGAATCTTACAAACTGCATAACTGGTCTAGCAAGATATGTCTGTGAATGTGATAATGACACGAATGTTATGGAGGCAACCAACTGCCTCTTTAAAAATTAGCTTTAAGGCTCATTCCACTGCAGGGGACTCATGAACGGTACTGTTCATCTGGCCAAGAACATCCGTGTTTTGTTCTGTGCTCATTTCTGAAAATATGGTACCTGAAGGACAAGTCAAAGAGAAATAGGAAAGACTGTGCCCCCAACATTTGAAAGAAATCTTGGTGTCTGTAAAGGATGAGAACTAACTGTCCATTGCACAAGAGAGATGGATGTTGGCAGAGGATGAAAATAATGAGGCATATTCACGGATAATGAAACGCAGGAATGTCACAACCTCCCAGTAGCCAATGCAACAGTGATACTTAAACACTAATTATCTATCACTGGGTTTATGTATAACAGGGCTATATTGAACATCTACCTTACTGTTTTCACCTCAGCATCATCTTCAGTCTTATCTGGAGCTAGTTCTTTCCAGTCTGTCTCATTTTGTCAGCATGTATTTTCGTTTGAAGTTCCCTTCTAAATACAAAGGTTCTGCTTTTTTCAGATAAACATAAAACTAAGCTAAATGATAAATGTGAGAGATAAATTAGAGCACAAATGAAACTACAAGAAAATATATAAATATAAAGAGATGGAGCAAGATGCTTACAACACAATGACTTTCCCAAATATTGAGTTTTCTTTATACAAGCTTATTTTATAAACATAAAAAATGGCCAAAATATTTTTCTTTGTTCCCAACCAAATGAGTGAGTAACATTTATCAATAGGTTCCTCATCTTTTACATCACACATTTATACTTTCTAGAGAAATCAAGATAATAGAAGAAATGACATGAGGTTTTTAGACAGATCTGGTGGAATTTTAACTCTTCGATATTAGAGATGTTATTGATTCTTAATAAGTTCCAATAATCTTTTTCTTAAAGTAGGTAATGGTGATTTGCCGAATTTTACAACTTATTTATAAATATTTTGGCCTGTATATAATCATGCATATTAGGGTTTTGTGCATATATACAAGCACAGTGACATCTGAATGCAAAGCCCAGTGGTTTGCACAGGCAACCACCGAGTAAACGGGTTACTTTTTAATTAGCTACTTATTAAATTTGTTCTCAACACCTTGCTGTCAATCATGGGCCCTACTGATATACTGAATGAGAAGACTGAAATAAATACCTCCCACATTAAAGTTTTCAACTCACCATGCTTACCAAATGCTATCTTTGATTATCTAATTAGAGAGAAAATATAAGCATCCAAGTCTATCATTACGTATTATCATAGTTGTCACTACAAGAAACAAGTATTGTCTTATTCTTCTATCGACTTGGAGAAAAACATTTTGCAGAAAATATTCATGTATTAAAGACAACTAGAATGAACTGAGCACAAAGCCATCTACATAAGAGAATCAAATGCTTTATAATAAACACTGTATATTTTCCAAAAGAATTTTATTTTGGTAAAAAATATAACATTTGTGAAGCTAGCCAATAAACTAAAAGCTCACTTTGTTTCACATCAGCAACTAAACTAAATACTCCAAAAAAGGAGAAAACTCTGAGATGAGGAAAATATAAAATGAGGCTTTCCTGTGACTCATCCTTTGTAAATTTAAATAAAGAAATATTTGGGGCATATGTTTAGAGTGTTGGTACAGCTAAGAAAAAAGGAATATCCACTGTTTTTTCATGTGTTTCAACATCACATGGAATATGATTTTAGTTTAAAAATGGATTCTGAGGCAGTAATTGCTGCTTAAGAAAATCTAAATCACATTTATACTCTTAATTATTATATAATTTTAAAAATATGAAAATGAGAGAAACTGTCCTAACAATAATCCAGTAATGTGAATCAGTGTGTGTGCTTTAATTAAGTACACTTCAAACAAGTCTGAGTTCTGAAAATGCACATATTCACAATAGCTTTGAGGATGTTATATTTTAAATTCCAAAGATGTAATCCAGTGAATTAAAACACACCATATATAGAGAAGCACCTGTATCTATCAGAAAATTAATTCCATTGTACCTGATTTTTATATTAATTTGCCATTAGAGTTTTAATTGAAATACAGCTTTACAGTACCTAGTATACACGGTGGACAGACCCATAATAATTTAAAATGTGTCCTAAAGCATTAGTTCTCTGCAGTTCTGTTACATCCCATTACCTTTCTGAACAGGTTGAGCAACACAGGAAAATAAAATCAACGTACAATAACTTTTACTTGTCATTTGACAGAAAGATTTCAGGGCGTCAGTGGAGTCTACTTTAAATTTTATTGTATATTATTAAATCTTATTGTATATTGTATATTATTATTTTTCATTTTTTAATTCTGGAAAGCCATAAACTTAGGGGTCATAACATGATGTTTTAACATAAATATACCAAAAAAAAAAAAAAAGCAAGCAAAGCCAAGACCATGGTCTCCAATCCCAAGCGTTGGAAGGCTGATGAAGAATTGCTTCAAGTTGAAGGCTTGTCTTGGGTTACATAGTGAGATATTAGCAACCAGTTTTAAAGACAACTACTAATATATACTTATAATGAAATATGATTAATTCAGCTAGTTGGTGCCTAGCAACATCTCCAGCAAGGGAAATTATTTTGTGATAATAATCTTGATTGCAACAGTCTTTATTGTCTTTCACACTCATTTTGCATCAGGTCTATAATAAAAAGCTAAGTCACAAACAGAAATATCAGATGTTACACAAAAGGTTCACTATTCCTGGGCACAAATCAATTTTTCAATAACTCTTAAGGTAATTTGAGGTCTTTCGTTATATAATACTCCAGCAAACAATTAAATTCTACAGTGCTTTCATTTAACAGGCCAGATAGGATTTATATAATTAAATATCTATATAATAAATGTGCATGTAATAAATATACAATAAGCTAAAGTTAAATCAAAGCTGATGCATAAAGCCCTTAATTCATGTTAGAGGCTGGATGGTCAAATATTTATGTGGCTGAGTTTGCCTACAGAGGTTGAGTTCTGAAGGGAGGCAACACACTCAAATGGAGTGGTCTCTTCTTTCCTCAACCCATTCATAAAACGCCTTTCTGTTCCGCAATGGGCTCATTCCCTTGGTTAATGAACATAGCCTGAACATAATGCCTATGTTCAGGCATTAACCAGTCCTACACAGAAAGGAGAAACAACTGGTTTTTACTTAAAAGCATAACTTAGGTGAGTAGCTACAACAGGGGTATTTTTCGTTTCTAAAGGGAGTAAACCCAAAGGATGTCATTAACATGTGAAATCTGATGGCACAGTGAATGACCACCTCACCACAGGAATGCTGGGGAAGAGAGGGTCCTCGAAACTGATCCAGCCAGTTAAGTAGACATGGGTGAAGGGTGGCATAGCTCTGAGATGATAGCATAAATGTGTTTGCTCTTTTCCTCTAATACTGGAACCCTGATTCCTATCCTCCCCGCCCGCCTTTTAAGAGGACTTAGGAGACGCTGGCTCTGGCTTTTCTTTCTTAATTTGTCTTGAACTAAGAATTCGTTCTACCCGGTCGCGGTGGACAACTCTCGGTTAATTCATGTGACTGAAAAATCTCCAGTTTACACCGCTATCACTAACCTAAGGAAGCCAAGAGCATCAAAGCCAGCGAGAGATTGTCTGTCCTGACTTTGTTAGCTCAGGTTTTCATTTTCCACAGTCAGCTTCCTTACGGGATCCCGGAAAGATAATGAACAACCCTATCTATCTTTCATCAAGTCTCCCGAGCGACTGGAGAAACCCTATCAGCTTCTCTGAGACCACTCTTTCTTTGTAGACCCACCTGCATGGGCGCCTCGTGTCTCATTGTAGGCAAATGTCCTTTCTCTCTTGCTAGGACAGCGCTGGTCCGGGCGCCTGGTCAAGCGTGCACAGCCCGCGCGCTCCCCGCAACACTCTGCACGCGTGGGGCTCTGTATCCTGCTCCAACATCAGCACCGGAGCTGTCCGCTCCTGACTCTGCACAGGCGTACTGGCTGTGAACCCCGTGAGCTTCTGGGGGTTGTAGTTTAATCTTTAGAGGCATCTGCGCAAATGGGAATATGGTGAACTACAACTCCCAGAGACCCAGGAGGCTTCTCTTGGGCTTGCCCCTCCTGCTGCACAGGGCTGTGGAGCCTCCCTTCTCCTTTCCAGTTATTCGGGTTGTTACCGTTCTCAGCCTGCCTGACCATTTCCTCAAAGCGCACCGGCGAAAATGACACCAGTTCATCCCAAACAAAAACTTTCTCTTCTCAGTGTCTCCTTTGGAAGCCAGACTGTTTCTCTCTGGCTAGGAAACGCAGCACTTTGTTCGGATTGCCAACGCAGACGGGCGTTTACCTTACCTCTATCCTGAACCCGGAAAGTTTATACAGACACGTAGTGGAGTAGTTGCACAGTCTTATTCAACAATCACGCGGGAAAACGACAATGGATGGCACGCATATAAGAAAAGCTGTTCATTCGCACGACTGCATTAAAATCTGCACGCAAGCAAGCGCGAACACACACACACACACACAGACACACACACAGACACACACACACACACGCACGCACGCACGCACACACGCACACACACGTCCACAAAAGCCGGGTTTCTAGCTAAGCCCGCCGAGGCACCTCTTTCTGTTTACCTTTCCATACAGCTCCATTGCAGCTGGAGGTTCGGAGAGCGTCAAGCAAGTCTTCCCACTACAAAGAAGAGGACGGTCTTATTAAGGCGGCGGAGCACAATGGAAAGGCTTGGAGGAGTTTGCCGAGAGCGAACGAGGGATGGAAGGGACAGCCTGTTCAGATGGGAGGCTTTCTTCTTCCAGAGGGGAGCCCAGAAGTCTTCCAGTGACAGCCGCAGAGAAAGGGCTGTGGGTCTCCTAGGAAGTGCCAGAGGCGCCAGCGCTAGGCAGCCTCCCCCCGCCCCCCAGCCCTCCCTGCACACACACCACCTGAGGGCCGCAGAGCTGATAGGGCACTGGGTTATTTACCCAAAACAAGTCACACAAAATGAACACATTCATCACCAGAGCCCAAGAGCGCCTTCACGGAATGAAAGGGGAGACCTCGATTAACTCACCACCGGGCCCTTTCTTAAGGCGCAGCTCTTTCTTTATACTGCAATTGCTTTCTTCCGAACCGGTTTATAGCTTGCTTTTCAGTTCTCTCAACGGCATGTTGGTTTCATTTAAGCTCTCCTGTCAACTTCTAATACGTGTGACTTGTGCTTTCTGTCGCTGAGACAAGCGTTTTCCTCTTCAGAGCGCAAACTCATCCTCTTAGCCTCGGCCTCAGGTTCCCATGAGGTCAGATTTTGGACACTGGAGGCAGAGTAAAAAGAAGAAACCTTCAAATGGTGTTCGCATTCAGTCACGCAAAGGTTAATTTGAATCAGCTTTGAACTTCATCTCCTTAGACCGACCGACCAGCAGAAAGGACATTCTGGAACTTTAATGTGCCGGAAACAGCTCTTGGGAGTAAAAATTATCCTTCATATTCCCAGGCCCCATGCCAGAGATTCTGTCAAGAGGTCTGGGGATCCACATTTCCAACACCTTCTCCAGAAGTATTTATGCAAGTAATTCATTTGCAGTAATTATGCCGTAATTCGAGAAACACTGCTTTTAAAGGATTTATATGAAAAACTTTTTTTCCAAAGAGACAAATCTCATATTTCCCCTCTAAACTCTTTGTATATGCAACAATGGTGTACTGTGCCTGATGTAATAAAAATGCTGGTTTCTTTTCGTTTTTGTTTTTCTCAGAAACCTGTCTTCTAATTTTTGATTGGTGAGAATGTCATGTGATTAATATTTTTGTAACAACTTGAAAGAACATTTTAAAATCATCACCTCTTAGATGAGTTACATGCTGACTAGAGAAAATTAACTTAAAGATGAAAAACAGAACCAGTGAGGTGGTTCAGGGTATAAAGGTGTCTGCGACCAAGACTAAAGACCTGAGTTCAATCCTCGGGTCCCACATATGTGCTGGATGGAGAGAACTGCTTCTAGCAAGTTATCCTGTGACTTCCATGTGTATTTTTTTGGCACACCCTTGAATTCACATACACAAACTCAAAATAAGTAAGTAAGTAAATAAATAAATAATAACATGCAGTGGAAAAATTAAATTATTGTCTTAGTTACTAGCCTATTTCTGTGAAGAAACACTATAATGAATGCAATTCTTAAAAAAAGAAAGCATTTAACTGCTGGCTTGCTTCCAGTTTCACAGGATTAGTCCATGAGCATGACAGCAGAAAGCAGATAGGCCTGGTGTTAGAGCAGTAGCCCAGAGCTTTAGATTGTGGTCTGCAGGCATGGGGAGGGAGGAGGCATGCCTGCCCATGGGCTTTTGAAACCTCAAAGTCCACATGACAGACATCCTCCAATAAAAACCACACCTGCTTACACAAGACCACATCTAGTCCTTCCAATCCTAACTGTGAAGGAAAACAGTCAAATGCATGAGCCCATGACGGCCGTTTTCATTCAAACCACCACAGTCAATGGCAAAATAAATGGTAATTGTCAATGTTCAATAATAATAGCTAACTACCAGAAGAACTTCTGAACACTTAAGACGTGTGTGAAGGTATATGTCTTCCTTACATTCATTTATCGTGTATATCAAGCACATGCCTGTGCAATGGCGTGCTACTTGAGACCATTGGTTTTCTGCCAGCATTTCTTTTGTGAAATGACCCATAAAACTTGAGCTTAAGAGCCTATAACCTTCATGGGTTGTGGGGGTCCATGCTTTTAATACCAGCACCTGGGAGGCAGAGGGAGGCAGTGAGTCCCAGGCCAGCCTGGTCTATAGAGGGAGTTCCAGGACAGCCAGGGCTACACAGAGACACCCTGTTTCAATACCGCCCCCTACCCCCTGCCCCCAGCAAAGAACCTAGAGCCTCTAAAGATTTTGCTTGAAATCAAGATGCTATCTATCAGTCTTATGCTGTGGTACCGATTGGTGGATGGATCTGTAGCTATTATGTCTACAGTCTGGTCAAAAATGGAATTAAACTTGAAGACCAGTGTACAGTTCTTTTATATATACTGCAGTGATTATATTCTGACATTTATGCTGTCAATCTTACTACACTTGTTGCAAGGTAAGTTAAAAAGATCTGTCTTGTAGGCACAGCTGTGTCCTGCAGAAAATCAGGAAATTTTTTAAATGGGAAAAAGGGAAAAATGGTCACTGATGAAACAGATGGGACATCAGGTTGACTATATTCATCAGTGTGCTGCTTCCTCTCTTTTGCATTTGTACCAAAATGTGAGTGTATAATATAAAATGTACTCATTCCCAGAGACTGTTGTAATTTAGCAGTCACCAAAGTGTGAAAAATCAGTAAATTGCTCAATGTTACAATACTGTGGTTCTTGCTGCAAACGAGGAAAAAAAAGAAAGCCTTCCCACATATGTTTGAAACTGAGGTTATGTGTCGATGTTAAAATATGTCAAGAGGGCTGAAGAAATGGCTCAGCATGTAAGAGCATCTTGTCCTCTTCCAGAGGACTGGTGTTTGGTTCCTAGCAGCCACATCTGGCATTTCACAACCATCTGTAATTCCATTTCCAGGGGATCTTATACCTTCTTTTAACCTCTATGAGTATGTATATGATCCTGGTATGTAGACATACATTCAAGGTACACACACATACACATGAAATAGATAAATAAAACTTTAAAAAAGTAAGTTTGAATATAGTTAACAGAAGGAAAGGGACCACCAGAGAATAAAACTGTGTGACATGAACCTCTCACCATGCTAGTGTGTGGGGAGGCCTGAAAGTTCTAAGGCCCAGCGATATTAAGTATCTCCCCAAGGACCACAAAGACCGTTAGATGGATGGGGTGAAAGCACTTAAGTTGTTGCCTTGGATACACCTTTCCTTGCTCTGCCTCACATCAACACTCAGATTCTGAATTTTTTCTATCCTAATGTTTAATAGTATTCACTTATTTGTGTAGATCTAATTGATATAATATTCATTTGCTGTTATCATCCCTGTTTCATATCTGCTGTCTTGTTTAATATTTCTGCTAAAAGGAGCCAAAGGCTAAACTAATAATAATGATGCTATCGGCTGTATAAGAAATCACAACAGACATTTTATTAGGATGGTTTTCATGACATCCCACTTAAGATTCACTGAGGCTTGGAATAAGGATCAAGGAACCTCTTTAAAATTCACTGCCTCCCTCATATAAGCCTGATGCTATACCATAGTGTCTAACTTTAAACATGATAGGGATTATATCCAACCAAGTGGAAGATTTTTGGCCAGAGTTCTGTTACCTCTGCCTGACTGACTATAGTGAGCTGAATTTGATTCCAACCTTTAGAAGCATCTACACCACGAAATACTATTGATTATCTCATGTTCCCTTTAGAAGAAGTTAAATATCCTCATGACACTAATGATTTATTTGAAATTTAAAAAAAATATTTTAACTCATTCCTGTTAATGAATTTTCCAGCATTATATATAATCCATATAAGTAAAATGTCTTGTAAAAAAAAATGCCCTCCAAGAGACTATTTAAAACATGTTAATTTGCTGGGCATGGTGGTGCATGCCTTTCTTCAGAGGCAGGCGGATTGCTGTGAGTTTGAGGCTAGCCTGGTCTACAAAGAGAAACCATGACAGCCAAGGCTACACAGAGAAACCCTGTCTCGAAAAACAAACAAACAAACAAACAAAAAGTTGCTTTTCCTTCATAACATAGACACTATTTACAACGGCCACCCTCATAGCAATGCTATGGCAGGTACTTTGTCTATATTATTCCATTTAATTGTCAATAACGTTGAAAGGCAATGTTACAGCCTCATTTACAATCAAGAGAGTGTATATAGTTTGCTTAAAGACACTGACGAACGTGATTTGGTCCAGGCTTTAAAGCTAAAACTTATCTCCGTCTATACCCAGATTCTCAACCATAGTTTTTCCTCATAAGAGTTAATATTTTTAAATACCACATTTCAAAATTTCTTAGAAGTTTTGCCGGGCTTTGGTATTGTTGGCCTGGGATGGGACCAAGGATGAAATTATAACACTGTTATGAAACTGTAGGGTTACTTAAAACATTTTAAAATATTTCATATATTTAAATAAAATTTTTATGACTTACTTACGTCTATTTTGTGTACATTGTTTTTCTGTCTGTATGTATGTCTATTAACCACTGAGCCATCTCTCGAGCTCCTACTTAGAACTTTTAATGATTTTTTTGTTGTTGTTGTTGTTATTTGAAAATGTTCTGATTGGTTAATTTTGATATTCAACTTGGTTGGGTTTGTCTATAATAGGTGTTTCCAGACAGGTTTGAACAAAGAAGAACATGACCCATTCTGAAAGGGGGAGTATCACCCATGGGCTGAATTCATGGATGGAAAAAGAAGGTGGAAAAGGAGAAAGTCAGCTGGTGCTGGTTTCTCCTCTCTCTTGTTCCTGAACACTGCATGGCTTACCCATCATGACAGATTTCTTTCCTCTTTCTGTGAGCCAAAATAAACCTTCCTCTATCCAGTTGCTATTGTCAAATATTTGATCAAATTGGCAGAAGTAAGTAGCTAAAACAGCCATCAACCCTTTCAGTCAAATGGCAACCCATTTGATCTACTGGAACTATTTTAAGGAACTTTATACCAAATGCTACTCTAGCTCATAGAAAACAGTGAACAATAAACATTTTAAGAGAATCAGAGGACTACTAAATACCAGTGTCCACTTTTTACACCAAGTGTTTATTCAGGAGTACGTTTTAGATCATTATCCTTGGAGGAGCACTGTGTGGCTCACGTCCTTATTAGCTCTTGAGGCACCTCCACCAGAGAGTTATTACTATCTAT